TGAACAACAATTGTGCAACACGGCGACGAGGCAGCTACTGAATTTAGATCGCTGTTGTGCTCTTTGACTCTCATAGTTTTGCTGATCCTGGTTGAGTCGTTGCTGCTGCTGCTGTCGCTTTTGCTACCCCCCTGACACCCTTCAAGCTCCAATTTCTAAATGGCTTCGGGCCGCGATGGATTGGAGTGAAGTTGATTGTGAAACGGTCTGTGTCGAGTCCTGATTACAGAGACACATCAATAATGCTTTCACATTGGGGTTGATTGAGAAAGAGCCTCCCTTTCGTACGCCGTGACAGTCAAATAAGCTCTTTGAGCTAAAGCTGCCAGTCCGCAAACCAGTTAACTATATCTGTTTCTCAAAAGTGCTAGTTTACATGGACTTTTAAAGAGCCGCGGATACTTCAACCTGAGATTTCTTTGCAATGCTTATCAAAGGGATTTAGTGGTTGAGTCAGTTCAGTTTACCTTTATAATATTTGGATTTAAGAGTTTCCGGAAATTGCACGGGGGTCAAATAATAATTTGTTAACGAAACCACCATTTTTGTGACATCAATGTTTTAGGTAACTTTCGTCTTATATAATGTACATGGCAATTTTTTTCACCAAAAATATTCATTAGTAATTTCAGATTTTGGACTTTCTGTCATTTTCGTTGCTTCTCTCGATCTTCATAATTTTTTCACAGCATACGTAATATTTAATTTAGGGATTTATTAAGTAACGGAGCTTTAGCTCTTCTACCTCAGCGACCGAACCTTCCTGATATTTATTAAATAATCATTACTGTATTCTTTTTACTGATACATCATCGGTAATGGTACAGTTTCTAATGAGACATCGTAAGTCAGGCACAGTTATAATTAGTACACAGTCAAAATTGATAGGTCTAAGAGGACCCAAATTGCTAATCGAGATCAGTCACTTTCTCCGTGATACTATTTAAAAAGAAGAAAGATCAACACGAACACCGAATACTAGTGGAATAATATAATACTCTCTAATTTGAGAAAATAATTATCGAGTCATTAGGGAATTTCAATGCTTTCAATGCTTTCAGTATCGTGCTAATAGGATATACATATATGGGGTTCGTTAATGTAAAAAGCTGTAAACTGTGACTTTATAGTTGTTTATTGTAAAATATAACAAGAATATATAGCAACAGATAATCCAGTTTGAAACCATTGTGCATTTCCGAAGTCTCTTTCACATGCTCTCTTAATTGTCCTCTATCCCCATTCCTCTACCCCTTTCTCTTTCTTTCTTTTCCGGGTATAAAATACAGCACAGTGAGTATATAACCAGTAAAAGGTACGTATACATATTATATATGTTGAAAGGTGGGTATGGCAGAGCAGTAAGTCGGATGCCTCGGAGAACGAAGCATTTAATCGAAACAGCCAAGAAAAGTCATCTGCAAGTTTCACGAAGGTAATTTCGCAGGCATTCGGCTGGTGGGCATTCGAACATAAAAGGAATGCTTCTGAGTCTTACGAAAAGGGACGAATACCTTAGTAAGGGCTGACTTCCGTTATATGATCATACCACCCTAAATCTGTACAATTACAGTTCGTTTCTACTTGAAGCAAAGCACAGGATGTTTACGCTTCTAAACTTTCTAGATTTGACATCACGGTTTCTGTGGAAAATTATACTTACCTTTATTCCGTGGTTAAGAATGTTGCTTTACAAATAAAATCTAAATGAAAAACTGACAAACATAAAACACATGAAACAACAGAAAGCAAATTGTAAAAGAGAAAAAAGCAAAGATATACATAATCTTGAGGTTATTGTGGTAAATTTGAATAATATTGAGATATTACATAGATTTTTGCTAAAGAATCACATTCTGAGAATGGTTACGGGACTATTAGGAGATATTTCGTTATGTGGGTTTACATGAAATTTGCTTACTGTGCAATTCCGTGCGGGAAGGGGGGGGGGGGCAAGGGG